ACCCCAGGATTACAAGGCCAGCGTTCTAACCGCTAGACCACCGTGGCTTAAATCCAATAAACTCACTTTAAATTTTGACAAAACATATTTCATGAAATTTTGTATTACCAACAAAAAATTGCGTTTATCTCGGTACAGAGTAAGAGGACAGAGCAACTGAAGGAGCACTGTCCCTAAACTAAGCTCGACACGCTCAGTTATGAGAACTCTCACATCACTCTTGAAAACAGAAACTTTTAAAATTAGTCCACTCTGTTTACTTCCATTCAGTCGTATCATATGGAATTATTTTGTGGTGAAACTCAACGGACAGCAAAAACGAATTTTTACATTCAAAAGAAAATCATTAGAATAATGGCAGGCAATAAAAGGAGACACTCAAGAGGGAGGATTAAGAAACGTAATATTCTTCCACTAGCCAGTGAATTCTTGCTCTCATTATCATCATTTATAATGGACGACAGAAAACTTTCAAACTCAGATATCCACAATATAAGTACAAGATACAGATACAACCTTCATGTGCTGATTTCTAACCTCAATAAATATTAAAAAGGAGTTTATTATACTGGAATTAAGTTATTCAATAACATTCCTCCCATTATAAAAAGTATGAATCACATTATAAAGCAGTTCAGGCCATCACTAAAAGAGCATCCCCTACCTCACGCCTGATACTCCATAGACGAATTTACCTCAAACAAAAATTCTCAGCTATTATAAATACATGTAAGCATTAGAGGTTATTCTTTCTTGTGTAATTGCTTTTTCAGTAATACTGTAATTTATATTAGTATCAGAAACAAGTATTTGACATATTTGGCTTATACGTCGCTTGTTTAGCTTATACGTCGCTAGTGAGACCGATACTTGAATATGGAGCTGTGTGTTGGGACCCTTACAGGGAAGGACAGGTAAGAGCACTAAATCGGGTGCAGAAGAGAGCGGCTAAATTTGCTAATTTCACGAACGAATCTGGTTGGGAAACATTGGCACAGCGTAGATTGATAGCCCGAATGTGCGCCCTTTTCAAAGCATACACGGGGGGCCGGGCTTGGAAAATGATAGAGGATAGATTATTAAAGCCATGCTACCTGGGCAGGGACGATCATACTCGGAAAATTAGGACTAGGAAACAAAGAACGGATGTAGGCAAATATTCCTTTGTAAATAGGACCATAAGAAGCTGGAACCAATTACCTCCAGGCGTGCTAGAGTCTTTCCCCTGTAAATTAGGCACCTTTAGAAAGAGGGTCAGAAAAGTAGTTACAAGCTAAGGGTTATTAAGTTGGGAATAAATGGTGATAAGTGAAGTGAAGTGTCTTAGTCTCCAAGTGATGAAGGGCTGTAGTTCTTTGGGATAAAATTTTCATGTACTGAGAGCGGACTTTATATTCCACTCTTAAGTATTGTGATTAATTAGTGGATGTGTGTTTTTTTATTGTGTCAGATGTTTTATTTTGAGTGTGGTATGTTGTATTGTTGTGTCTCATTGTATTGTTGTGTGAGTGCATCAGTTCATGACGTTTGTAATACATTCCAGTTATTGTCTTATGTCTAGGTGGTATTAAGTTCTTTTTTTTAAGTTAAGTACTTGAGGTTGGATGGTTTTGTAATTTATGAGTTGGTTGATTTTGAGTGGGATGTGTTGTTTTTGTTGTGTCCTTTTTTATTGTTTTGTTCTGTCTCTGTGTTGATGTATCTCATTGTTTATTGTCTTATTGTTTTTGTTGTGTCCTTTTGTTTATTGTTTTGTTCTGTCTCTGTGTTGATGTATCTCATTGTTTATTGTCTTATTGTTTTTGTTGTGTCCTTTTGTTTATTGTTTTGTTCTGTCTCTGTGTTGATGTATCTCATTGTTTATTGTGTCTTATTGTTTTTGTTGTGTCCTTTTGTTTATTGTTTTGTTCTGTCTCTGTGTTGATGTATCTCATTGTTTATTGTGTCTTATTGTTTTTGTTGTGTCCTTTTGTTTATTGTTTTGTTCTGTCTCTGTGTTGATGTATCTCATTGTTTATTGTGTCTTATTGTTTTTGTTGTGTCCTTTTGTTTATTGTTTTGTTCTGTCTCTGTGTTGATGTATCTCATTGTTTATTGTGTCTTATTGTTTTTGTTGTGTCCTTTTGTTTATTGTTCTGTTCTGTCTCATTGTTTTGTATGTTATTGTAGGACACTGCCACCGGGTATAAACCCATTTGCAGTCAATAATAAATAATAATAATAATGTCCTACATCCTTGGCTTGAGCCTACGAAGGATCTGCGAAATGTAAATAAATGCTATTTATGTTCTGCTGAAATATCAGACTGAAAGGTAAAACATATAAATCACTTATAATATTTAATGAATTTTACAATATTAATATTATTCCTTTCGCAGGCTAATTTAACATTTTCATCGGGACCAAAGTATCACCCACTGCAATACTAATAAACATCAGCAAATCCTTGCATAAAATTTAAAGTGAATATTTTAATCAATAATACAAACTGGTACAATGAATAAAGCGCTTCTCGGTGTGTTTCTAGAGAAGGAAAAATAATGAGTAGTCGCAACCTGAATCGACTTTTCCAGAAGTGGTAGCAATAAATGTAATTTGTAGCGCAGGAAACATGCAGACTCTACTGGTGAAATGGTGACCAAAGACTTAAAAACACAGAAGAATCGAAACACATAAAATAACAATTCCGTGAAATTTTGATTCTAATTTAAAGCAACATTAAATCTTACATTTCCAGGTCCACACAATTTCTACTGGTAGCTTTACAGAGTAAACACGCTGTGGCTTATTCCGCTAAGGATGTATCCAACAAACAGGTCAAGGCTTAAGGAGAGCTTCATCCCTGTCGTCATGTGGATCATTAAAATTGTTTGTCAGTCTGTGCCAGGATTCCTCACGGTGAATATCACGGCGACACACAAGGTTGCAGCCATCCTATAAACAGTGCAATATCTAACATAATGAATATGAGCTGAACGCAGAGACATCTATGCCAATTTGAGCACAAACAGATTTTAATTTAATAGTTAAGTTTGTAGGTTTATTGGAAAAAAATGAAAAGTGAACACAGAAATTAATTTACCATAGTAATGCTGTGTGTTTAAATTGAGGAGTTGTTTTACAAAGATTATTGATTTACCGTAAAAGTAAAAAAAGTAAAGCTGTCCCACTATACGCCATGTAGGCATTTGGGGGTAGGGAGAGAAGATATAGCTCCTACTCATTCTTGACCTTGGCACTAGATGGGGGCGAGTGGTCAGCATCATGCCACGGCCATGCTTTACCCTGGGAAAGGACCCTGACACCCATTAGATAGGAGGCTGGGTGGGCCCCAGAGCCGATTTTGATGCAGAGGCTAGAGGAAGAATCCTCTGCCCCATCAGGGATTCGAACCCTGGTCGTCCAGTCCGTAGACAGTCACTATACTGACTGAGCTACGCCAGATCTTCATCATTTACTGTAAGAGATCAAATTATTTATGGCAAAAGGTGGCGACTGACTTGTAACATTTACTCGTAATGTAACATTCGCGGCGAGCATGTTACATTACACCACAACTGGTGAGGCGTATCGAATGCTCGTTTCGAACGCTCGGCTCGACTGTGCTCGTGTGTGCTCCATTCATTTCATTCAATATGTCGGACGTGGAGGTTGTGTTATCTTTGTTTCATTTAATACGCTACTGTTATCTAAAGAACTCGTGAATGCTCGTTACGACGCCTTTCGACTGACTGACTGACTTGTAATGTAACACTCAAAGGGATTCGCGAAAAAACCAACAACACGATGGAGCGCCCGCGAGCGGCTCCGTTCGCTGTCTTCACTTGTGTAATGCTCGATTTGTAACACGTTACATTACAGGCAAATGTTACAAGTCAGTCGCCACCTAAAGAGGAATAAGAGTATTGAAGAACCGGATGAATTATGATCTTGCATTTCTTGCGGAATGATAGGTCATACAACTTCTATTAACAAAGCGCTGCAAGGTTCATTAGATATATTTAACAACATAAAGGCTTTCAAAGTGAAGCTTCGTCTGTGAGAATATAAATTAAATATGCATTACTTTCTGGACTGTCAGGTGCAATTACAAAATACACATTTCCAGGACTGGATCTGTTCATCTTCAAATGTAGTTAAAGGGACGCCTAATCTTTGCGGTCTGTTACAACCTAGGTCAGAAGAACTACATGTGTGTAAACACCTGCGATCAGGTTATATCTGAAGATAAGATTGACCCTAACAGCAATGGAAACATGTTACAGGTGAAAAAGCCATATACGAGGTGCGATCGGAAAGTTTCCAGACTGTGTCAATAGAGGACGAACCGGATGTAGTACGAGCTTCTGCCGCTAGGGGGTGCGGCCTACATTCATAGTGAATCAGTGTGCCAGCCGGCATCATCGTATTAGCATTTGTTTCTTAGTTACGGGCGTTTTGGTAGTGCATTACACCGACCCTCCTGCGATTTCGGAATGGCGTGTGCATCAAATTTGGCCAAAGACTCGCCAAAACGGCTACGGAAACCTATGAAATGCTAAAGCAAGCATTTGGGGAGTCCGCAAACTTTTGTGTGGCATTCACGTTTTAAAAAGGGCCGAACCGCTGTCGATGATGACGAGCGTTCTGGACGACCATCTTCGAGCACAACGCCCGAAAATGTTACCAAGATTCGGCAGGCCATTCACGAAGATCGACGTCGTACCATAACGACTTGTGCGACATTGTTGGGACCTGTCAGCTGATTCTAAAGGAAGAACTCCACATGCGACGCAAAGGCTCCTGTCTGAGGACCAGAAGCAGAATCGACTTCTCGTTTGTCAGGAGCTAAAAGATCTTGCAAGAACCGACCCCAACTTCCTTCCTAAGCTCCGTGTGACTTCTTCCTCTTCCCAAAGATGAAAATTCAGCTAAAGGGAAGGAGATTTGAGACGATAGAAGAGATTCAGGCAGAATCGCAGATGGTGCTTGACAGGCTGACAAAGAAAGATTTCCAGGGATGCTTCCAGGCTTGGCAGCGGGGCTGGGATCGTTGTGGTCACTCCCAGGGGAACTACTTCGAGGGTGATGGATGAATTTAATACCTGAGATAAGTGTACGGGTTTTTATAGGCGCAGTCTTGAAACTTTCCGATCGCACCTCGTACAGCAACTGACAATACCTCCCCCAGTCCCCTCCTGCTCCAAGAAAGGGGAGTTTCAAAAGATAACACTAAGAAATATTTGCTATCTGGACTTTTTACATAGTAGTTGTTTAAAACAAAAAACCACAACGTCCAGTGATACAGACTAGCACTTCTGTTAGACCCAACCGAGTAGGTACCATCCCCCTTGCCCGAAGACGGAAACGGAGCCATTTTCCGAAACGTTCTTTTTTTCCTTTAAACAAAGACAAAGGAAAAAGTCCAAATAGCAAATAATTTAAGTGTAATCCAGCATCTGCGGAACCCTTTAGAATTGAATTTAAAAGATAACGTCTTTAATTTTCCTAACGGCCTACACAGCTTGCATTAAGGTTACTGTCAAGTCAATAACTGTGTCTTGTGTGTTATGCAATTTTAGAGAAAAAGGTGCATGTGGTATCTAAAAACAGTAATTATTCAATCATATTTATATCCTGTGCCAACGTTTTGAGAGCCATCTAGAGCCTCTAGAAACATTGGCACAGAATATGGCTTATTCACCTTTCAGCCACCTGACGTGGCTTGTAGCCCGAGAGTCTTTCATCAACATACTTATAAGAATCTGAACAGTTTCTTCACGTAATTTTAAAAAATTATAATTTTCTGAAAGCATACGTTTAAGAAAAGGCTCTCTTCCAGAGATTCATGAAGTAGAGATTTCACTGCATGCTATAAAATTTGCCCCATTCCTTGCTTAATTTCTCAGACTGGCACACTCCTAAGTTTGCTTCTAGTCTATTGTGACGTCTTTGCAGCAGAGAGCTTTAGACCCCAGTCTGGGTCATAAAATCGATTATTACAAACATATCATTGCTGTTTTGCAAAAACAACAGAAAAAATAAAGGAATAGATATTTTTATGCTTTTGGTGGAAAGCTCTTGCTGGATTTCGTAACTAAGAATATTAAGCTTGATGAGGTAGTAAAGAAAATAATTAGACACTGAAAATTAACTTTCATTTCCAAATTATTCTAATCCCAACATACCGCTTGCAAATTCCCCAGCTCCTTCCAGAAACCACGGTGAGGGATCTGCTCAAATCCTTTAGCACCTCCAATGAATCTCCTGTGGGCCACTCCGACGATGAAGTAAACCGCAAAACATGTCAGAATACTAAAACAGAAAAGACAAATACAAAGAATAAGAAGAAGAAACGAAACCAAACATTTTCCTTTTCATATATAATAAACAATCAGAAAGACGATGGAGCAAGCTGCATCAGGTGGCTGAACGGTAATATATTCTGCCAACGTTTCGAGAACAATCTCTGGGGCTGCTTGGTAACCAGTCTGTTCCTTTGTTGCGTACTAGCTCATGGGAACAAAGGAATGGACTGTTTACCAAGCAGCATCGAGTATGAAAGCAGAGACTGTTCTCGAAACGGCAGAAGATATGGTTTATTCACCGTTCAGCCACCTCACGCGGCTTATAACCCGGGAGTCTTTCATCAACTTCAGTCGCCGTAAAAGCTTCACTTGATAAATCAGAAGGATCTTCAACACCACTTTACTGTTCCTGTACATGAAATCATGGTGGTACAACCATTATCTTTATATATATATATATATATATTTTTTTTTTTTTTCCAGACGCAAACACACCACAAATCACAACTCTGGTATGGATCTTATATTTCTATATGTTATAAATATTTTCTATTTCCCAAACTCTTTTTCATATAAATAATTAATAATTCGAATGTCAATTAATTGTTTCACAGACTACAGAATGACTGATCTAAAAAATACAAAACAAGACGAAGAACAAAAAGAAACAACCTAGAAAAATGAAAACTACAAAACAAACAAATCAATGATAGTTGCATTAATAAATATACATTAGTTTTAAAGACGAAAATAACCTGAAGATGATGCAGTTGCATTGAAACATGTTGTGAAATAAAATAATGAGCGCTAAAATTGTAACATCGTAATAGTGATGATAAGCGCCAAATTTTAAAGTTTAACTTTAATAACACCAATTTTAACAACTAAGTTTGTGTATTGACGGAAATAAATAAATACATTATCTTTATATCTGATGCCAGCCATTATATTTATGTTTTTGTTTTCTATTTGTTTAATGGAGAAGGAAGGGACTTGTACTGATCAAATAAGACCCCTGAACTTTAAGGCTTCAAGGGAACCATGGAATGAATATTAGTTCTTAAATTCTATAACAAAATCAAAGTACTATATCAGGTGACAGTTTTAAATTGATAAATTATGATTATCACCAGTTACCACTCATTATTTTATAAAGCATATGTTTCATCGCAAAGTGTGTGTAATCCTCTCTTCTTTACAAATTTTTAAACAAGTTGTAAATGTTCATGAAACTTGGTATGGAATTGTGTTACCGGAGAATACCACACTTACGTCTTAATTCCTTATAATAAAAAATAACATATGGTGGACATGAAAGCCACAGATGTGGGAATAACACTGACCATTCAATGCAAGAACCTGAAATTATATATGGTAAAAGCACATCTGTGAAAAGTATTTGATTTTTTTAAGGTAATATTTAACGAGAGTCCCGCGCCGTAGCTGCGCGGTCTGAGGCATCATACTTCGGACCGGTGATACGGAATTCGCGCTGGTTTGAGTCTCGAGGAAAGAAATTTCTCATGAGATTTTCGACCAGAGCCAACCCAGCATCGTGAAGAAATTGGGGAGCTACAGAGTAGCGTAATCCGGTCATGAAAGCTAGCAATGGCTGGGGGTTCGTCGTGCTGACCACACGTCACCCTGTATCTGGTTGGATGATCATTCACCTCTGCTTAGGCATGTGAACATGAGGCCAGCAGCCAGCTAGTCGGCTTCGGCTCTCAGAGGGCTGTTACGCCACGGATTATTATTATTATTAATACTTAACGAGGCAATATGTACATGTAACTGTTTAACAGTGATAAAAGACAAACTACTTCAACAGATGTTTAAAATTTTAGACTTTGATGGATTATAAACACACATATGAAATTTGTGTGAAACGTTTCTTGTGTTTTGAAAGTGAGACACTGTGACAGTGCAAAATGTCAAAGTACTACTAGCAAAAATATTTCAAAAACAGATTATTTGGTTGCATCATTAATGTGTATTTATATTGTAATCTTCTTTCAAAATGGAAGCATTAAACAGAAATATGACATAATAAGTTCTTGTCTCTTACATGATACAAAAGACCGAGCCACCGCTGAGTCCGGTCTTCACACAGAGAGCTGAAGTCTGAAGCTCAAATGAGAAGAAGCACCCAGTATTATTCCAGTTTCTGTTATACTCCAGAAAATACAAAGATGGCTGAAAATAAATCACACCAGAATACTGTTTGTGTTGGAAAACTCTGCTATTATGACAGTTGACAAAATAAAATTAAACTAAACTAGAATCTTTTCACAAGTGCTAAAGAAAACACTTAAAAAAGAGCTGAAGGAGTACAAGTACGAGGCGCGTCCACAAAGTAAGTTTCCCACTCGTCCCACAGCTAGCAAACCTTATATTGCGCCAAGCGACTGTGCGTACGTGATAGAGCAATGACGTAGCATGGCGCATGCACTAACGGCACTTCCCGCGTTCTCACAGTAGCATCGTTGCAGCTGTTGAAGATGGAGGTTCTTATTCCAGCTCCCGCCGACTGTGAAGTGCGGTCAGTGATAACGCTAGGCCGCACACGGCTCGACGGACAGCAAGTCTCCTGCAGGAGTTCAGCTGGGAGGTGTTTAATCATCCACCCTACAGCCCGGACCTCGCTCCCAGTGATTTCCATCTTTTCCTACACCTCAAGAAATTCCTGTCCGGTCAGCGTCAGCGTTTTGAGAATGACAGAGAGGCGGAGATGGTTGTCACACAGTGGTTCCAATCCCAGGCGGCAGACTTCTACGACACAGGTATTCAAAAGTTGGTCCCACGGTATGACAAATGTCTCAAATCCGGTGGCGAATATGTTGAAAAATAGCTAGACACTTGCTGGGACGAGCCTCGTACTTCCTCCTACATTTGCCTACAGACTTGAAGTTTAGTAAATCAAGGCACAGATTCAAACCAGCGTCTCACAAGAAATGATAAGGAACTGTAACCAACAAGCTACATGCAACGAGAAAATGTCTATAATTCAGATATGGAATAAAAGTGTATTATATGACAATATTTACATCCTCGTTTTCTTCTTTACATGTAATCAAAATCTGAACCCTCCTGGCCAATTTACAAAATTCATTCTTCTGATCTCCATCACCATCTCCATATATTAGAATAAGCCATGACTCTGGAAAAAAAAATGATAACATTAATGCAAACCTGCAAAGGACAGTAGTATAGACTGACCAAATATGACTGACTCACTTAGAAAAAAAAAATGGGTTCATAACAAGAGTGAAAGATTAAGGCCCCCCCCATACACACACAGTTTGGCCTTCCGATCGACCTTACAGGCAAAACTGTTACAGTTTGCCCTCGCCCTTTCATTCCCCATACACGCGCAGATAAACCGGCACGCTGCATGCCACAGTCACAGTCTTCCAGCCTATGTCGCTGAGTGCAGTGAGAAAGAAACATAAACGCCAAGTTATGGACCAAACAGTGGTTAGAAAGAAGAAATCATTTCACTCACATTGATTTGATTCAAGAACTTAAATGTTTTCCAAAATACCGGAGCAACTACCTGCGTATGGATGAATGTACTTACCTGGAACTGTTAAGTATTGTTACGCCATACATAAAAAAAAGAAGATACGAACATGAGAAAAGCGATCACACCCAATGAAAGATTGACACCTACGCTTCGCCATCTAGCTACTGGAAGAACCCTTGAAGACCTGAAATTTTCTACTCATATCTCTCCTCAAGCATTGGGAAGAGTGATTCCTGAGACCTGCAAAGCAATCTACAAAGTACTGAAGAAGTATTGTAACGTAAGTAAGTGAAACAAGTTTCTTTGGACATTTTTACTTTTACTACACAGGATATGAAAAGTTACGGTAACATTGCTGCTGTAAGTGAAACAAGTTTCTTTGAACATTTTTACTTTTACTACATAGGATATGAAAAGTTACAGAAACATTATAAACACAGGAAGATAAATTGTCATGGTACGCACATTAAATTAAGAGATTTCCCCCATTATAAGGTTATCTGAAATAGAGTAATACGAAAAAAACTATAAAGGAAATAAAGTATTTAAAAGTAATATTGACCCGCCTCTCTAGTAGTGACCCATGTAATCATAACGGCTGGAACCCGAGGAGATATTTGACTGAGGGTCAGGAGTACTGTATGTTAAGTAACCTCCAGTACCGGTATTGTTTGAAGAGTATCTAGAAAGCGATCCAAACTCTGCTTCAAAAAGGACGTCATTTATTAATTTCTCTGCATAAATCCTTTGTTCATTATTTCCTAATGCTCATAATTTGGCAGCAAAATTTTTTGCAAAGAGGTCAAATTTGTCCTCAGTACAGAAGAACACGAGACAGCAGCAGCAACTGAGCGATTGGCCTGCCGGTATCGTCACACACGTGCGTTCCGCCTGTCACGTGCTACGTCCTGCAGGTAGAACTGATGGATTTCCTACAGTCCAAACGATTGGCCGGCCGGCCGCACCACACACGAGTTTTGCCTTTCAGTCTTCAACTGTGCAGGCCGAACGGGAGGCTAAACTGTGTGTGTGTATGGGGAGACTAAGACTTATTCTGGTTTGGAGAACAAAGAATTTCACTGCAACATAAATCTGCTGGCAGAACTAAATACCGGCCCAAATACTACACCGCAATCATAATTCCACTGCTTATTAAGCTAAAAAGATAAAAGACATTACAACGCATTCATCGAATGATTCTTGTATTATTTACTTAAAATCTTTCAACTTCAAAAGTTATATGGTGTCACATGGAAGGATAATGTGAATGTTGTAAAAGACGAGCACAAAAGAACTTTACACATTCAAAATAGTACATAAAATAAATGCAACGCACTTACAGGTTTACAATTATACCAGCCAACAGACACGAATCGTAGACACTCGGAAACGAGCTTCATTAGCCACATGGCAGATACTGACATGATAATCCAACTCATCCCAAACTTCGTACAGGTGTCCTTAGTGATGGAAGCAATGGCAGCTGTAATTTGAATTTCATCTACCAGATGTAAATGAATACCTGGCCACGTGAAATTGTGTGCAAAATGCGCATTGCCCAACTGTTACAGACACTTTCTCCACTAACTGCAAAACACAACAACTCCTCCATACTGGGGTAGCCATTTTTAAAACTAGTGGCATCCAAGCAGAACAACAATCACCCAGATCATTTGAAACAAAACTTTGGGAGCTTTTCTATCAACTGGTACGGGTGTGAAGTTCTAAGTATGCTGTATTTGTTTTCTGTATCATTTTGAAAGTGTAAAGTTCTTTTGTGCTCATCCTGTATTGTTAACAATTTGAATGTGCCTATTTTGTGACACTATCCCAGCATATGACTTGGCCAGATTAATGAAAACCATTAAAATCATGTCAGGACAGCCAATTTTCATGTAAAATATGACTATAAATAATGAAATACATAGCGGGAATAGGAGAACAGTGCCTTACAAACTGTAACCGTAGATGTGCTTAAACTAGTCGGTTTGGTTGTTTTGGTTGAAGGCCTTGACATGTTCAGACTAAGGGATGTTGCTACTGGTGAAAATCTCTCACCAGGCATTTTGTCTTTTGGGAAAGGAATTTTGGTTTGTTGTATGTCCAAGGGTCAAGTCCTGAAGGGTTGGGATAGCATCTGAAGTCCTCTGTGACAGAGAGGAAATCGATTTAGGTGAAGGCCTCTCACACTGGTGAAGGTGTGATGTGCTCCTCTTAACTATACACTGAATTTGTGTTACAACTGAGGAAAATCATGGGGAAAAAACGGTCAAAGCGATGTTAGAAACCAATCCTCATCAAATTGGCCATCTTATTAGAGACAGATTTGATTGGTTTACTGGGTTTCGGTCACTTTTGGTTGAGACCATACGTGACTTCAAACAGACACAGGTAGGCACGAGTGCTTTCTAAGCTGCTGAAGTAGGTTTCTTGCATTTGCTAACTCTGTCAAAACTTTGTCTGTGCTCTGATGTGGTTGGCAAAAATTGAGGCCTCAAATCACAGTGAATTTGTATGTTACCAATGTATCAAAGTGCATTAGTCACAATGTGAAGAAGCTTAGACTGTGCAAACTTGAAACTTCCAGACATGGCTATAACCACCAGACCTCCAGATGAAGCATGCATAATCAACCACAGGACATATAAGATGCTTATGAAGCAACACACCGCTTCTGATGGACGGGCGACTTCTCCTATTGAGGGCCTGGCATACCCAATCTTCTAGCTGCCTTTCTACTAGCCTGACTGATATGTGGTGATGAGGTTAGGTGCATACAAGAGCCACCACTGATGGAGAGTTATGAAGTGGGTAACATATATGGTTACCAAAATGTTCAGGTCAGGTAGACTGGCCAATAAGAACCATAGGATGAGGAAGGGGATGAAGCCGTGTCCAGACCAATAGGATCCAGTCTGAGGGCACAATACAGGAAATTTAGATCAGGAGTAACAGAAAATGTGGCCCTTTTATTTGCCAGGAAGGAAGAGGGTGTCAAGAGAAATATTTCTTGTTCTTTCAGAACATAAATAAGGGGCTTCCATGCTCTGATAATGTTGTTAAGATGGAGTTCAATTTCAATCTCAATCTAACGATAGCATGGGTGACTGCTCGATTCTGCACACTGTTCTCCTATTGTCCTCCTCCTGGGAAAGCAGACCACACTTTGTGAGCTATTAGTATGTATACAACAGCTCATTGTGTCACCTGTCACAAGAGTCCCAGTTTACGGAGATGGAGGCAGAATGTGAAACATTGGACATTCATTACACATTATCATGCCTAATCACAAAGAACCAGGGGTACAGCCTGGTTTTGTCTATTGGATTGAACAGGTTAGTCCATATTTTTACCTGATAATGGAAGTACAGTCAATTTCCAAAATAATGTGCTTTATAACAAAAGCCGAAATGACGAAAATGTTCACATCAAGTAACTGTTTAATGTAACACAATTAATCACTGTGGGATTTCTAAAATAAAATCAACAAAGTACTGCACACTTTTACCTACACCCTATACAAAACAATATAATGAGATGTTCTCTTATTTTCATACCTCCACCGACTATATCAGTGTCATTATATCTCCCTAGGACTGTTGATGCTGTTCCTTGTTTTTCTAAAACACTGGAATTTGGGTACTTTTCTGAAGCATCACTGCAGATGGTAATAACGTAGGAAATGCCTCCAGAATCAACATGAAACCTACAACACGGAATGACATAATAAATATTCTCATACGATTACAATATTACGAATGTTTCTACACATTGTTCCTTACTTCTGCCCTTGGATGGGCGATAAGCGTTGTATAAGTTGTCTCTTTATATCCGAACTTTCACTACGCAGTTTACAGTTCTGCGTATAATCACAAGTTATGAAACTAAATTTAAATATTAATAACATAAAACCAATTCCATAGCTATATATCATTTTTCTTTAGGTTTCCTGGTCACGATTTCAATTGCTTATACACAAACCTTGTTGCCAACGTTACGAAACTGAAGCGAAGTTACATACATGGATATTAAAAGTACGCCTACATGATATCGCAAACTAGAGCGATTGGTAGTAAAAGGGGCTCAGGAACACCAATATAACCTCTTTAAATTAGCGAAAAGCTGTGAAGTATAATTTTGACTATTAAAAGATTAAACGTGATATAAAAGTACATCAACGTTTAAAGTGTTTACTGCTACGTGTTGTGTTTTGTGGCTTAAATGTGTCAAACACAACAAGCATACGTTGCCGCAACAATTATCTGTGTTGGCAACACTATCTGTAGCAGATATTTGTAGGTTATCCAGTGTTTATTCCAGAGGTGTTCTAAAAGTGGTAGGGGTTGTAGGATCTGACATTTGGTTCTTTTTGAGCGGTTAAAAATGTGTTTTGTATGAAAGGGATTTTTTGTCCTTCGTATTGTAATTGCTACATCTCCAAGTCAGTATAAATATCAGCAGGAGAAGTAATATTGCTGTTGCCAATGTTCATACTCTTGTGAAAGCGGTTATTAATCAAGAAAAATAATGACGCGTTTACATTCTTGATGCGTGTGTTACACAAAATATTATTAAACCTGATAATTGCAGTTACATTTTTTATTCTGTTTTACGTATTTCAAACGAGTGAATCATCTAGTGATAAACACTATTCTTCCACTTTTGATAATTCTTGTTATTTATACACAGATAGCAATAATGTGTTTCAAACAACACAGGATGATTCTCGTGGAAGACCGTCCGCCTTAGAAACTGCTGCTACACCGTCCGAAAGGAAGAGTGAGGCAAATGATGTGTACAATGTTTGGTGTATATTTACAAAAGTGCTCAATCATGCAGCTATGAAGCACAAGTTTCATACGTTTACAAATTCTCTCTTTAAACATTCCACTGGACATGTTGCTTTGCATATCATAATAGATAATTCTAGTAGGACTGCTGCTGAGGAAGTTTTAGAAGCTGTGAAGGAAACTACACACAAGGAGATTCTGGTATGGAGATAATGTTGGTTAAACGAGAGTTAGGTTGATACTTTAATGACCAGAATAGCCTCCTATATGCTATGATGACCAGTAATATGATGGTTATTCTTTGGTACTTCATAAGAAGTGCTTAAGACACAATTTACTATTTCTTAATGCGCATCGAAGTGTATACAGTTGACATACCCAATAGAAACTGTTTTCTAGAAATATGCCACAACCTGTCACTGAATTTTGGTTTTAAGGTAACAAGCCATAATACAAACCATTCTGCTCATATTGTACATAATGCAACTGGTCACTATACTGTAAAGATATTCTAAACTAGAGAAGTTTTCTTGTTTTAATAGTATTCGTTTTATTTTGCTATACTATCCAGATCTTTGAAACCTGTTCCTTTGCTAATTCTGGAAAAAGAAAATTCTTTGCTGCCTTTTTAAGAAAATTGTCAGGAATTTTATATTAGCATACAAACCAAAGGTGTGTGCAGTAACATTCATTTTAGTATTAGGGTCTTCATCATGATGATGGAGGCAGCAGGTTCTTCTGAAGTGCTGGTAACCATTCAGAAGTGCATATGGTATCAGAATCTTAAATTCTGTGAGAACCTCTAATCTCACATTAATTTGAGTAAATTAATGCTGTAGAAAATGATGGACTATTGATCCATCATCAGCCTCCACAGATTTTGGTTTCTGTATTTGCTGCTTAAAGTCTGTCCTTTTGTTTTTCACTTTTATCAATGCGACTGCAGCGTATTTAGTTTGGGAAAAATAATGTAGACTTCTGTATTAATTACCGGACAGTGAGGCTGTATAGATCACAAACAATGAAGTATGAGGTACAAAATGTATAACATTTACATATTTAGAACCTTGTCTAACACAGTGTTCAGTGAATTTGGTATCTTTTTAACAGCAATAGCTTGGCAGTGAGTGATACCTATGCATTCTGGTGAAATCAGGGCTGCGGAGTCGGAAGCAATTTTAGGTAGAGTTGGAGTTATTAAAAATGTACTGACTCCGACCTCGATATAAAATCTTGAGAACACTTTCGCTACCATGTGAGCTGCTGGCGGCCTCACGCTTAAGGAGATTCAATGACACGAGACACATGGTGTGGGAATGATTCTTTATAACTTTGGCTCCAACACCTTAAGATTAAAAACTGTCTACAAATCAACCGATTTCTGCAATAACCATTAGACGTATATTTAAATATAGGTTTTAAGTCTAATAAGTAGTCTGATGATCCACGAGGTGGTGCTGAAAATTTGTGGTACCATTTACTATTTTAGTATTGATTTTATTGAGCTTTTATGAAGGAGTCAGAGGTTTTAGTACTGACTCCACAGCCCTGGGTGAAAAGGCTTTAATATGTGTAATGAAACCAAATGTTTTCCCAACGATCCATCATGAGCCATTTGTGCATATATCAACACATCATTTCTATTGTTTCCAACTGAGGCCCCTTTTACCAATGCACAGTTTGGTTATGAAGATGATAAGTATGTCAGTACAGTATATAAACAAAGTAAAACTGTGCCACTATATGCCATGTAGGTCGCTTGGGGAGGAGAGGAGGTATAGCTCCTACTCATTCTTGACCTTGGCACTAGATGGAGGTGAGTGGTCAGCATCGCTCCCTGGCCGCACTTTACCCTTAAGAAAGGACCCCGGTACCCATTGGACAGGAGGCTGGGTGGGCCTCAGAGCCGGTCTGGACGCAGAGGCTAGAGGAAAAATCCTCTTACCATGTCGGATCAAACCCGTCATCCAGTTTGTAGCCATTTGCTACACTGACTGAGCTATGCCGGCTTCATCATGTTTATCCGTAGGGCCCACGAGACTTGATTCCATGATCTTGACCTGACCTGGACTTGGAAGATGTTCTTCTGGGTTTTGTTTTCATGTATATTTGTCAGTAGCTAAAGTTTTGGAGAAACATACTGTCTCCAACTTCAAGGCTGAAGTCATGATGCTGGGAAGTGGAAGGATTTTTGTAGGGTTGGAGTGGAGTGAGGAGATGGAGTTGGGCTAATAGGGAATCACTGACTAGCCAAATTCCTTAGTCTTCCCATTCTATATACCCCTCTACTTTCCAGCATCATCACTTCAACCCTGAAAAAAAGGAGATAATGTGTCTGTCTGAAATACGAGGCGCATCCCAAAAGTAAGTTTCCCTGGGGCCGTTTACAGAAACAAAACACAATTTCATGGAAATATTTATTGCAACAGATACAGCAAGTGTCCAGCTATTTTTCAACATATTCGCCACCGGAATCGAGACATTTGTCATACCGTGGGACCAACTTTTGAATACCTGTGTCGTAGAAGTCGCCCGCCTGGGATTGGAACCACTGTGTGACAACCATCTCCGCCTCTCTGTCATTCTCAAAACGCTGACACTGACCGGACAGGAATTTCTTGAGGTGTAGGAAAAGATGGAAATCACTGGGAGCGAGATCCGGGCTGTAGGGTGAATGATTAAACACCTCCCAGCGGAACTCCTGCAGGAGACTTGCTGTCCGTCGAACCGTGTGCGGCCTAGCGTTATCACTGACCGCACTTCACAGGCGGCGGGAGCTGGATAGCATCTGCTGATGCCTCTACATTGTGCCTGAGCCCAGAAGAACGTTGTCATCCTCACTGTTGTGAAAACCTATGATCTCACAACCTGGACTTGCCTCTGGAATTGAAATTTCTGCCATTTGTCTGTCACGTCCTACAACTGCATATTTTGCCATGTACCTCAAAGTTATCAAAGTACTGTCGTGTATCTTAAAAGTGATTGCTGACTGACATACGTTGTCGCATTCTACCTGGTGATGTTAATTTTGTTTTCGAACACTAATATAATGTGAATAATGAAGCAATGTATAAGGTTAGGTTTAGTGTTCTGATATCAAAGTCATTTTAAAATGAATTTCTTTGCAAGTACACAGTTTGATAAGACCTTATCTAGAGAAGACTTCAAACCTTCACGGTGTATGAATGCTATAAAATTGTCTCAGGTGATCAGCGGCGTTAATGTTGAGTCAAATGTCAACTATTTTGAAGACTAGATCTGTCTCTGTTTTAAGGGTGAGTTTGAGGAATGACCAGGATTACTGATATATTTTCGGTCTTAGCAGTGCCTCCTCCTTATTGGCGCGCTATGTGACTAGAGGGTGGAGTCAGATTGTTTGATCTCCACCGTTTGATTTTATATAGATCACCAATTTGAGTAATTCCTCAAACTTATCCAGAAGATGAAGACAGAGCTAGTCTTTGAAATGGCTGATCACCTGGAGACTTCTTCTGTATTAATGTTATGTTAAGTTTTTAGGCAGTGTAGTATTAGATGATGGTAATGTTACATTCTTGTTGTATTTAGGACTACAAATTCTAGTCTGTACTATGTTATGCATTTATGCAGGTAATGTATTATGATGTGGGGTACCTGGTGGAAGAGCTGCAGGAAATTGTGTCAGCAATGCAACCTCACTTCAGCTCACAGCCTGGAACATATTACAGCGATGCTCTTTTCTTCCTGTCCCTCGGTCTTCACAGAATTGCCTTAGATCAGCAGCGTGCTGCAATGTTTGATGCCGACACCAAACTTCATGCAAATATTGAGGAGCTCTTTCAAGAGTTTGACAGGTAATTCTATGCGTCAGTATCCCATTTTGTAGGATTTGAGGTTTTCACACCTGTGAGTCTGAAGATTGCTGTCTTCTGCGCCGTATAGTCTGGTAGATTTTCTCCAACATCTAAGAGGTCCTTGCTGCCTCCGTCAGCAGGGCCTGCGTCAGGCGGTATGACATTTCAGAGGATATGCATCACCCTGATGAAGGAGGCAGCAAGGACCTGTGAAACGTTGACAAACTTCTACCAGACTACACGGTATAACAACCCAGAAGACAGCCATCTTTCAATTCATTGCCATGAAAACCTCAAATCCTACATGAACATAGTTTTCTCTTGCGTTTATTTGTAGGTGAATTTCTTTACTAGCAACTGATAAGATATTGTAATTGCGTCATATTGTGATTCGTATATTAAAATATATATTAAAAGTTACAGTCACTCACAATTATAATAATAAAATAATATTAAAAGATTTAAAACATCATTTAAATACACTACTAGTTTCGGCTACATTCAGCCATCGACGGGTGTATGCTGTATAAACCTATCACCATTTTACTGATTTATAACGTTATTCATATTTCACTGT